CTAACCCTTTATTAATACTGCTCAGAGATACAAGCTTCAAAAGAGGTTCTAGACCACAGCCTTAGCAGAAATGAAGCATTTGCTTTTCAATATAAAACTGACATTTCATGTTAAAACCAGATATAGCAACAAGTATCAACGAATTCAGGAAAACTTCAGATTTTGTAGAATTATAAAAGGTATAAAGTGATAAACCAAGCAAATATGTCAAGATGTGATTTTTATCGGTTCTCAGAATTAGGGTCAGATTAGATCCTCAGGATGCACTCTCAGCAAAGTCCATAGTTTACATGCCCTTTTAACAATATTTTGCATACCTTCTGAATTTCTTAAATGACTCTACAAGGGATACAGAATCAATTTTCCTTTCAGGAGGTATTATGCCAGATATCATTAGCAACTTTTTTTACTTGCTACTTGTCAAAGCAAAAAGTGAGGAATTGAGATAATTATCACAGAATCATAAAATTGGAAAGGATCCCTTATACCCTTACATCAAAGTATGTTCAGTGCAGAAACCCAAATTTAAGCATGAAACAGATGGCTGCTGAAACATTCACTTCTACCATCTTAAATTTTAAGTCTAATCTCACATTCAGCCAAAATCTGTTTGCCTTTATAATTAAGGCTATTATTCTGTATCCTTCACCTTGAGGCAATACAAAATAGGTCTTGACCTTTTTTGAGATCCCCCTTCAGGTACTTGGAAAATGCTTGCTGACACTTCCCTATCGGCTCTCTTTTCCCAAGACCTAGCCAATTTATTCTTTATCTCTTTGTAGAATTTAGTTTCCAGTGTTTTCATCATCCCTACTGCCCTCCCCCATTTTTTGCACCTGTGCCAGTTGTCTGTACCTTTTTAAAAATGTGATATTTGGAACTGGACATGTTCTACGTGGTCTCTGACTAATGAAAAAGAAGGAAGAAAAATGCAAACAAGAAACAACGGGACAACAAGGACAAATATATCTAAAGAAGAATTAGGGGAGAAATGTAAATAATAGATTACTGTTACAAAATTGCTGTTAAAAAAAAGGAGGAGCACACACTGTGTGTGTATGTGTGTTATGTTTTGTTTTGCCTTGTTTTGTTGGTTTAAAAAATAAAAATTAAAAAAAAATTTTAAAAAGAAAAAGGAACTATTTACTTCAAGTGATTGAAAAATTATGCCTCCACTGAGGCAATCCAAATTTGCATTTTTCCTTTTTAAAAGCCAAGTCATACTACTGACTCATATTTAATCAATGATGAAGCACAATTTCAAGATACTTTTCACATGAACACTAAGTAATTCAGGATTTAGTCTCTGCTGTCATACTATGAATCTCCCAGGCAAGACACATAATCAGGGTGGCACTGTGGTTAAGAGACCCATAGTGTAGGCCATCTTCAGCCTTAGGTGACTTTGGGTCAGTCGTTTTCTCTCAGCCTAATCTACTTCACAAAGTTGCCACAGGGTAAACAAGAAAGAAGCTTGAAAATTAAACTTGAATGCAGAAGCAAGAGTTCTACTCAAGAAATACAAACAGCTTTCACATGATTATCACAATCTTAAAAACACAGGAACTCAATTTTTACAGATATTATAAATAATTTTATTACTCTATTCATTATGATTTATTGATGTTTAGAAAATGCAGTTAGAAAAAACACAGACGACTTTGTAATGGTGAAAGCAGACATAAGAAAAAGCACAGATATAATTCTATAGTCTCTTATATCACTCAGAATAAATGGCACATCTCTGTAAATAGGATTAATAGTTCTCTAATGATACATTTTCTATATTAAGCTATATGAGGTAGTGAGCATTTCAGATGGAGAACTGTTTCTAGATAATTGCTAAAGGAGCAACTGGAAACAAATCAGCTATTCATGAATATTAAGACATGAGATACTTCCTCAACACAAGAATTACAATTCCGGCAAGTATTGTAAATTATATCAGATGTTTCAGCAGGATATTAGCTGGCTACTTCAAAAGAATCTGTCCACTGTCATTTCCCTTTCTCCTCTTCTCTCCCCATCTTCACCAAACAAAAGTTGAAGAAATAGATGATTTTAAGTTTATTAGATATGCTAAATCATGTATCAACAACATAGTGGAAGAGCTTTAAATACCCTACCACCTTACCTTTTAGCACAAAAAGGCCACAGTTGGCATTAAAGTTCTTGCTCTAAATAACTGCCACAATCCAGAAGCCATTCCACTGCACTGTGTCAGGGAGAGAAGGAATGCAGGGCCACCACCTATATTCTTCAAAAAAGTAAATTTCTTCTTTGATTCTCCCATATTAATGACTAGAGCCACTCTAGTGAGCTATTGCAGATAAGATTAGAATCCCTGTAACATTAAGAACTGATGCTTGAATGATCTTGTTTTCTTTTACATGCTCCATCTTGTTTTTCTTTTGTATCATGACTTTATAATAATTTATTGAACTTGAAACTGACTCTCAATAACTCTGGGTGGTTCATAATTACAACATTACAATAAAATCAACAAAACATAATGATAACAAATGGCAAGCATAATGAACAGTTTTACTCACCCACACTGAAGGCGTGGGTGAAGATCCAGGTCTTCATGGCTTTTAGATTGTAAACATCAAGCTAGAGACTCAAAAACTACCCATTTTTACTGTTTTTTTCCAGAAGCTTGGGAGCATAAATTTATATATTTATTAAATTTATCTGCTGCCTATTTTGCTATGGGGCTACTCTAGGCAGCTAACATAACAGACATTATATAACATAAATGTTATAAATAGCTTCAATGTCCAAGACACTCAATACTGTATTAGTATGTGATAGAATAAAATCCCTTTAGAAAAAAAATTAAAGTGGCTAATTCTTACTCCACCATTTCCAGTACTCATTAAGTCTTCCAGCATTATTGAAGCTAAGAACAAATAAGAATGCATTGGTCCTTCATAAAACTGAAAACACAATCCAATAATGATGTAAGGCAGGGGTGTCAAACTCAATTTCATTGAGGGCCGCATCAGCATTACGGTTGCCCTCAAGGAGGGTAGGTGGGTGTGGCCAGAGTGGGTGTGGCCTACTGGATGGGTGTGGATGGAGTGGGTGTAGCCTATTGAGTGGGCATGACCAGCTCTACATCGTTCACGTCAAGGGCACCTGTGGGGGCCTGGGCAGGAGTGGGACAGATCTGAGGATCACTGGCAGAAGGGAATGGGACCAGGGAAAGTGCCAAGGCATGGTCCACTGGAGGAGCCTCACTGCCTGCTGAAACCCCTCCGCTGGAGCCCATCAACCCGGATATGTGAAGTAGGCAAGGGCCATTTGCTGGCAACTTCCAGGCGATGGTGCATTTCTTCATTCCTCACAAAGGGTGACACTTTCCCAGCATGCACCCAGGGGGCGGGGCTGGCACAGCAGGGGTTGGTTCCTCACTGTTTCCAGACGGCCTTGTGGAGCTAAAACTGAATGTGTTTCAGCATAGATGGCCACCACAAAATTGTACATTGGCTCCCGGTCAGCCTGGGCCAGGGCAAAGGCAGTGGGGGCCGTTCCCTCACTGTTTCCAGGATGGCTTTGCAGGCCACATAAAACCACTTCAAGGGCTGCATTTGGCCCCTGGGCCTTGTGGTTTGACATGTCTGATGTAAGGTTTCATTCTTGAAAACTGCTCAATTTGGAGTATGCCATGCATATCTAAAGAACAGTCTAACTCTGCAACACTAGCCTATAATAGAATTATTTTCTTTCCTATTAGCCTAACCATTGTAAAGGCTTTAATTACTTATAGTTAAGAATATGAAAATAACATTTTGTATTACAGTGAAACATTGAAGAGGAGAATGATTAGGAAACATTAGTGTTATAAATGGTAGGGTCTCATTCTAACAGATATTCTAATGTACTTGTGCAGCTACTTCAGAGGCCTCAGAAGCTAATGATTTATCAAGGTATGTTCTTCTACATGTCACGAAAAACAGCTCCCTGCTTCAAAAAGGATCACTGAGAGATAATAGATGTTTCTGATTAAAAGGTTTGCCAATATTTTCTGGTATAGGCTTTAAGGAAATGTAGAGGTCAAATCCCCTAAATTCAATAAAAGCACCTTTTGCTTTCAAAATGACACATATAACCAAATGTGTAGCAACACAAGATGCAGCTATTGTAACAAGACATCTGATACAAAACATTATCCCCATTCTCCATTAATATGGCATTTGGTGCAAAACTAGAAAAATGCTATCCAAAGCATAAAATATGATTGTACCCCATTTACAGACAGAAATCTTTGAGTAGAACAGAGTTAAAATATTTTTAATAATGCACTCTAAGTTAAACAATTAATGCATTAGAATTGTACATACTTTAAGTGAATGCTACACTCAATAAAGTTAAGGACATCTCTCTAAAGGTTATACACGTTTAATTTTTTTTTGCCTTCAGAACTGGTTTATCAGAAATTAAGGGGCCGTGCTAAAGACATTCCTAAACATTACCTGCTAAGATTTTTCTTTCTTTCACAAGGAATTTCCTAGCCTAACATTTTTTAGCAGGCCATCCCTCATTCCATATCTGTCCTTTGCAGTGTGTCAGGGTACCCAGAAAGCTCTACCTGCTTGGGAGGAAAAAAAAGTGCAAATAAGGAACCTCACATTATCCATAATTCAGAGTCTTATTCACCTCTGCAAAGCCAAGTCTTTTAAGTAATAGTTAGACACTATCCTTCCACTGCAAGCCTATCTAACCCGAGAGGAAAGCCAGCAAGAATGGGCGGCTGCCACTACAAGGCTGGGAAGATCGATGCTATTGAGGATCAACGACTGAGGAGCCCAATCTGGATCGGTCACCGGGACCAGAGGTTTTTGCCTCCCAAGCTTTCGGACTCGTGCTGGAGCCTGGGAAACGTATTACTCGCCTTCATTCATAGAGCCCAGAATTGCACAACTCGGGTCTGCGGCACTCGTAACCGTACCTTTTCTCTACATGCACAAGGAAGGGGCACGATGAGTAATTTTTACCTCGTGAAAAATTCTGCAAAACTGGACCCGGAGATCCCACTCAGCCGTTTGGTCCGATCCCCTTGCTCTGACCCAGCGGCCGCAGTGTGGGCGCCGGTGGAGGGGGCGTCCGGAGGTTCCGGCGGCGGCAAGTGCACGGGGGCGCTGCGGCGGCGGTTCACCTCGAAGGTGTTTCGCGAGTTGAGGCTGATGTCCATGAAGGCCAAGGCGGGCAGGCAAGGGAGCGCCCTCGCCGGGGAAGACAAGCTCTCCGCCTCCTCGGGGGTGCCCGAGGAGCTGGAGGCGGCGGAGGAGGACGAGGTGGCGGCGGAGGAGGACGAGGAGGAGGTGGGCGAAGGAAACGGGGCCGAAGGCAGGGCAGCCCCCGCCAGGCTGCTCCCGCTCGGCGGCTCAGCGACGGCCACGCCGCTCAGGAACAAGGCGCAGCCGCCGTTGTGTAGCTTCTCCTCGCCGCGCTGCGGAGACGCGGGCGCCTCGGAGCCCGGCGGGCCCTCGCGGGGCGGCGGCGGGGAGAGGAGCAGAAAGCCGGCGTCCCCGTTGGTCATTCTCCCTCCGCCGCAGGCGTCCCCGTTGGGCGGCCTCTTGCCCGCCAGGTAGCGATGCAGTCGGTCCCGGGAGCCCTCTCGGCTCCCATCCCGCTTGTTGTCCGCTTCCGCATCCTCCTCCTCGCCCTCCGCCTCCTCCGCCTCCTTGTCCCGGCCTGAGGGAAGCAATGCTGCGCCGCCCTGAGCTCCGGCATCCTCCGGCCCCACCATTTGCCGTCGCGGAACTCCAGGGGAGCCAGCGGCCCGGCCCAGATCAGGAGGACGCGGGGAGGAGAACCGGCTCCTCACGGCGGCGCAGCAGGGCCCACCGGAGGGGAGAGGGCGGGGCGGCTGTTATTGTCGCCGAGCCCGCGCGTCTCCGCTCAACGCATACAGTTATGTGGATGGTCGTGGCGGCAGGAGCGGCCTAAAGGGGCCCGGCTCGCGCAGGCGCATCCAACCCCCTCGGCGGTCCCAGGGGCGGCCGATCATAGAGACTATTTCGTTGGTGCGGAAATGCAGCGTGTAAACATCCGGTGTGGTTTCGGGCCGCCCCGAGTAAGATTGACGGAAGCCTTTGGCTTACCGTATATTCTCTAAAAGCGCCGTCTACAAAACGGAGTTTTATGAAGGCGTTATGGTCTGGTAGAAGAACGCATCTCCTTTTTCTTCTTTTGAAAAAGCGTCTTGGAGACTGCCTTGTTTTAAGGAATCACCTCTGTTGTCTCTTTCCCATCTTCCCACGCTGACTGGGAAATTTTGGGAGTTGAAGTCCACAAATTCTAAAGTTGTGAAGTTTGAAAACACTGGCCTAACTTCTTTGTGGTCCGATGTATTTAACGACTTAAGTTTCTATGTGCACTCCTCAAATTAAGTTTCATTAAATACATGAAATTATCTTGTGAATAGGTATGCATAAGACTTAGATGAATTGAAAAGTTGCATATAAGAACATGTTGCCCATCCCGACAAAACATGATTTTGAGCTAGAGATGCACACCTTTTATTGGGCTGATGGTTAGAATCCTGTCAACTGTCATGGATATACAGACTAGGCTTAGATCTAGTTTAGATTTAGTGTGATATATATCTCCACTTGTAATGTGGACCCAGCCCATTATTATTCACATTTCTCCCAACAAATAAAACGGACTCACTTAGTTTACATCTAGGCAAGTATCATGGACCTACTGCTTCAGACTGCAGACCATCCTCATTGGCAATTGGCGTTTCAGTATTTCTCATATTAAAACAACACGTGCTAAATACTTTTTTTTAAATGTCAAAACTGGAGGAAGAAAAGCCTGATTAACCTTTCCTTTGATGTTCCAATTTTCTATTTGCAGAGACTGTTCTCTGCGTGCAAAATACTTCTTGTCTATGTCCTTTCCCATTCTAAACTGGTATTATATCTATTCTACCGTATCACCACTTTCATAATTCTATTTCTACCTCATTTTACTGCATGTGCAGTCCAGGATATAAACTCTATGGCATAGAGGTAATCATGTTCAAATCTCCTTTTAGTTATTATTTATCCCACGTAATTTGTTGTCCATCTGGCAATCTCTGATTGACCCACATAAATAATATTCTCATTCTTTAGCATATTCTATCTTGCCAACATTAGGGCTGGACCCTTATGGCTTTGACAGCACAAGTGTATCACATATCTTCAGATAACCTGAGTATAAATTCCAAGTGTATTGCAGGATGGGATCTTGTATAGGTTTCACTATCTCCTGAAGGGCTATAAACAATAAAAAAACTGATGGGGAATGGATGTAGAGCTATTATAATATAGTCCAAGATTTCCTGAAGAAATTAGGTTTCATGGTATCTATCCCTTCTGGATTTGTTATAAAAGCCATAGGGATATTCTTCTAATCTGTTTTATTCCTAAATATTTAGCTTCTTTATTTATTTGTAATTTGTATGGAAACTCTTTTCCAGGTCCCATATAGGTGGAGGATGACTGAAGTGTATTTTTTAAACACACAGTACATGATCGGAGCCCTTTTTTTTAGTCATCAAATATTCTAGAACTAAGCCTGAGATTCAATACAGAATTAGGTCTTAACAGCTTAAGTGAAGTGCTGCCTAATTTTCAGTTTATATATAACAAATGGTAGCAGACCATTGCTTAACAACCATTTGTTCAGCAAAGTTACAATGGTGCTGAATGAATTGTAGTTATGGCCTTTAGTTGAATTTGATCTATTTTTGTGTATCAGAAGTCAAATAGACAACATATGTGCAGTGCAAGAGCAGAACAGAAGACCAAGTATAAATAGCTTACTCATTCCAGGATCAGCTCTATGCCGCTGTGATTCTCATGGTGTACTTGATGCTGCTGTAGAACTTTGTTTTAGGTAAACCATTTTGCATAAACAAGATGGTAAAACTTTCCATGGGAAAAAGGTACCTTGATCTCTTTTCAGCTTCCCCTGCCTCATTCCCAGGAATAGTTCAGATTGTAGAATGCCAAACAAAGAAATATAATGTAGAATGCCAAACAAAGAAATATAATGTAAGGTCAAGATAAGCTAATGTTTTTCACTTTCCTTTGAGTTTTTGAGCCAATGGATTGAAAATCATCTTCAATTTCTTGTGGGGTTAGAAAATAGAAGAGGGGACAGTGTGAAAGAGATTATCAACTGTTTGATGCCAGTGACAGAATTAGATTTGTCTTCTTGTCTGTGCAATCAAGGACTCTCCTAGTAAAAGTTTTCCTGCTAATCCCATTAGAAGCTGAATCTTTCACATTAGTGAGTGCATGCTTGCTGTTGAAGCAGAGGTCCCCAACCTTTTGAGCACGAGGGACCGGGTTCCGTGGAGGGGGTGTGGTTTCATGTACTGCCTACATCCGCAGATGGGGCTTTGCTTGTTTGCATGGACTGGTTTCTGGCATGCCACGGCCCAGTGCCAGTCCATGGACCAGGAGTTGGGGACCCCTGTGTAAAAGGACTTTTAAAGCTATTACAAGGCAATTGCCTTATCTAGCAATATCCTATAAACCTGCCTATAATAAGGCTCTATAAAGTTTTTGAAAGAGATACAGGTAATCCTCAACTTCGAATCACAACTGAGCCCAAAATTTCTGTTGTTAAATGAGACATTTATTAAGTGAGTTTTGCCCCATTTTATAACCTTTCTTGCCACAATTGTTAAATGAATCACTGCAATTGATAAGTTAGTAACATGGTTGTTCAGTGAATCTAGCTTTCCCATTGATTTTGCTTATCAAAAGGTTGCAAAAGGTGATCCCATGACCTTGGGACACAGCAATGGTCTTAAGTATAAGTCAGTTGCCAAGCATCTGGATATTGATCACATGATCATGGGGATGCTACAAAGGTTGTAAGTGTGAAAAACAGTCATAAGTCACTTTTTTCAGTGCCACTGTAACTTTGAACAGTCACTAACTGTACACCACACTCTGCGTTTGGATGAAAAAGGCCTTTCCTTTTTCCTGTAAAAGTGGCTATATTATCTTGCCTCATAAAGGCTATAATTCAGACTTCCCAAAACTAGCTGCATATGCAGGCACAGAAACAGTCAGGAATAGACTTTGAAACAGGTATGGGAGCAAGCTTTGTAAATGATGCTCTGAGAAGAGGTGCTTTGCTGGTGCTAAAATGCTCTGCAATCAGTTGTTTTCATGCTTTTCTAGCTTGTCCTTAGCCCTGGTATTGGTGCTGATATTGTTAGACTATCAAATGTAAAGAGTGAAAGTTAATAGCTTACAACCAGAATTGACTTTGCTTGTCAGAAGGTCGCAAAAGGTGATCAAATGTCCACAGGACACAACGACTGTCATAAATATGAACCAGTTGCCAAGCATCTGAATTTTGATCACGTGACCAAAAGTTGTAACTGTGAAAAATGGTCATAAGTCATTTTATTCAGTGTCGTTGTAACTTTGAATGGTCACTAAATGAACTCTTGTAAGTTGAGGACTACCTGCATGCATCACATTTATTTTATTTTATTTTATTTTATTTATTTTCTATAGTCTCAAATTTCAACAAACAACTCTGGCAACTCACAATTCAGAAACAAATAATTACGACCAAAATCTTAAAAACAGCTTAAAATAATAAAAGCAGTAAAAAAAACCATTAAAACATTAAAACGCCTAATTCGAGTACACACAAGCAAGATATCTGGCCTGTTATTTAATAAAGCAACCATTGGAAACATTTGAAAATAGTGTTTTATGAGGTAAAGATTTCAGAAGAAAGGAGATGAGATCAGCTCAAAATTTCAAAAATCCAGCAAAAAAAAATAAATTAAAAAAACTGCCCTTTCCCCCCACAGTAACCTGACAGAATTTGAATGGCTGAGTTTGTTAAAGCATAGCATCAAACTTTTATATTGGAACTTTTCTTAAGGCAATTTTCTAAAGAGTGCACATTATTTGAACATGCACATGTATTACTATATTCAAGATATGAGACCAATATTTCCTCATAATATTTTACATTGCAGGGTGTATCCCAATGTAGAAATCAAAACAAGTTTATCCTGTCCTAAGCCAATCTTGTGTGACAAACTCAACGTCACCCGTTTTCTTTTGTTTATACTTCATCAAATATTTTTGTCCTGCATTTGCTCTTTTACCTTGGCATTTTGGATCTATTTGGTTTAATATTTCAAAGTTCTTTTTCCACAGGTTTATAACTGAACTATAAAAGTACGGTCCAGAAACTTGGCATACAGTATCTCCATCTCAAAGTTTAATATTTCAAAGCAAATTTGAAAACATTCAGTTGCTTGCAGGATAATGCTTAGAAAGGTTCCAGGATTTTTGTTTTTGTTCCACTATTGTGCCTTTCATAACTCACTATGATTTATATCTCGAGGTCCCTTTAGAAGATGTAGCATTAAACCAGGTGTTTTAGGAATCTGAAAAGATCTGTAAGTAGAACCAGCGCTCAGCAATAGAGCTCTTGGTTCACATGTAAAAGGTCTGTATTTCAATTAGTGTAATTTCCAAGGTGGTGATGAGAATATGCCTCTGTAATATAATTTGTGATGATTACCAGCTTCCACACTGCTTGCAGAATGAGGTAGTAGCTTCAGGCAGCCAATATCAGTGCCTCGAAAGTAAAATCAAAGTTTTCTTCAAAGTGAGCTCCATGAAGGCTCACAAATTATTAAATCTTGTTGTATTTAAACTTATACTCATGTAGAGAGTTGCTTAAGATTTTCTGCCCTAGCTCAGAACTTCAGAGATCCTGTTTTGCAGGATTTGTTAATTAAGTTATTATTTTAGTCCTTTTAACAAGTAAAGGAACTGCAGACTAGCACCTGGTAGAGTAAAAATGTCAGACTTGATGCCATGATGGATCATGATCACAGTCACAATCATGAAACCTCTTCCCTGCGATACTCTGTGAAAGCAAAAACTGAATGTTGAAGAAGCAGAAAAGAAAGAGTATTGACACTTTTGAAGTTTGATGTTGGAGAAGAATCCTGCAGAATACCCTGGAGTTA